CTGGAGGGTAGGAGGAATGGGGAAGCGGTTCTTCCTAATTTCAGAAAAATGGCATTCTGTTCCCTTCAGTTTGACCCGTAGAATGCACGTTTCACGTTTTCCCATTTCAAAAGTCCTTTCCAGGTGAGGTCGTCCCTCAGATGAGAGCCTGGTGCATTCAGTCCTGATTCAGTCCTGATTCAGTCCTGATCCAGTCCTGATTCGTCTCCCCCATTCTCAGAAATGTGATTACGCCCATGCTCCCTGGCATGGCAACACGTTGCCATGGCAGCCTGCATGGTATCACATGATATCACTATCTATCACATATCACTATCATGATATCATATGGTAAGCCACTGCATGCCGGAGTTTGGAATACGAGATGAGTATGCTTTGGCAAAGATTACCCTTACTGCCCCTTGCTGCCCCTTACTGAGCAGCAGAAAGCTTTCGCCTCAGATGCCCCACATGTCCTTTAATGCCTCATATTCCTGAAAATTCCAGCTTCCGGGGCGTCGTCTGGCTCCAGGTCCGCGGCAGAAATTACAAAATATGGTAAGCTAGCACCATGTGGCAAGCGTTCAAACTCTGAGAGCTCTGATGAGGCCGGGCCACTCATGCACCGGCGGCGCTACAAACTGGAATCTGCCGGCCGGGGAGTTTCAGACTTCGCTGGTGGTGGCGCGTTGCTGAAGACTCCCGCTTCGTGGGCCTGACGCCCCGCACCTGCCCCCTCCCCCCCCCCCCCCACAACCAGACGGGACTGGGGCCCGCGGCAGCCGGACGTAAGAACAGGGGACGGGAGGGAGCAGGCGATGGTACGTCGCGGCCGCACCGAGCTCCAATCCTGTGGGGGTTAGAGTTCGTGATTGCTGGCCGCGCTAACGTGTCCAGCTAGCTACCTAGCTACCTCCAGAGACTGCGTCAGACCCCTCATTGTCATCATCTCGCGACGCTTTGGTTTCTCACACATCTCATTTTCGCCATCCCGCGAGGCTGAGGTCTCTCAGACAGCTCACTTTCAGCATTCCACGAGGCTGAGGTCTCTCAGACAGCTCACTTTCAGCATTCCACGGGGCTATGGTCTGTCAGACACTTCACTTTCATCATCCCACGAAGCTGTGGTCTCTCAGACACTTTACTTTCATCATCCCACGAGGCTGTGATCTCTCAGACACTTTACTTTTATCATCCCACGAGACTGTGGTCTCTCAGACACTTCACTTTCATCATCCCACGAGGCTGAGGTCTCCCAGACAGCTCACTTTCATCATCCCGCGAGGCTGTGGTCTGTCCGACACTTCCCTTTCAGTGTCCCACGAGGCTCCGGCGGTCTTGAGTAAATATCACAGCTGTCCACATCTGTATGGCACAGTAGGTGGAAGGCAATGCCGCAGCATTTTGGCGAGAGAGAGAAAGAATGCCCGTCCTTCGGTTTAGACGTCCTCACTCACATCCCGTATCAAGCACGATGTCGTTATCGTAGGTGTTATGCTATGAACCATTCGCGTGGAAGTCTTCAACATCATGTAACTGTTTCAGTATCCCACAAGGCTCCGACAGTCTTAGGGGAATACCATGCGCTATCATGCGCTATCATGCTGCTCTTACGGATCATGCGGAGAGGCATACGATCAAGTATGCAGCACAAAGGCTGGGACATACGATGCATACCACATAAGCCACACCCGGACCTGAAAGACGTGCGACACAATCCAAACGCACGCGCGGACGCACGGCATGTTATCATGTTGCATGCTGTCACATCATGCCAAGGCATGTTGTCAAGCGCAAGCCATGTTAACAGCATATATACCAACACGGACGCCGCGACATGTGAACAAGATAACACGAGCTTCGTCACGCGTCATTCGACGATTAACGCATTAGCTAATCACAGCCATTTACTTTAGGCAATCTATAGTTTAGCCCGTGGCTGGCCGCCTTCAGTTAAAATACTTGGAAATTAGTGCTGCCGTGATTAAACAGACAAATTTAGCGCCATGCTTATTTTACAGATCTAGCCGTCTATAAATTTTTAGCACAGGCTTGCAGTTCAGCAAACTTATTTGAGAGGAGGAAGGGTTGAGCCGAGCAGATTGACGAAACCTTCCTCTACAATACGCCAACAGGCTTCACTCTGCTTTCGGCCCACTGGTTCTTAAAATTGAGGGGGATGGGGGTGGGGATGGAACCTTCATCCTCTGAACTGAATAGGAGACTACACCTGTTTGTATGCGATACAGCTCTGAAAATCCTGCTGGTTGCAGCCCCGCTGGATGAGGACCTCAAGATTGCAAAACATCCCTCCCCGGTTCCCGAAATATTTGTACCAGGATCAGGGTTAACTCCGCCCGTGCTCCCATCATGAGCATACCTACCTATCGCATTCGTTATTCTCCTCTAGAACAGGTGGCGCGAAGAGCACACCCCATCGTGTACCACATTTACATTCATGTTAAACCTGCATGACTTTTCACATTTTCACTTATCCGTTCGCAGAGGGCTGGCTACAGATGGGGCTTCGTGGTCAAAAAGTTTCCCAACTATTTAGGGCTACTGTAAGTGACAAACGTGTGCCGCTGTTCTAATAATTTTGACTGCGACGATGCTTTTAAGAAAGCTTTTCTTTCGCAAACTCTTCAGCTTCTTCAGTTACGAAGCAAGACCAACGCGGATATAAAAACAGTGAACGGTCATGCACAGGGAGCCGGCAAGGTTCGCGCCAGGCAGGTCAGCAGTCAGTGACAGGTCTGACCAGTCAGTGACCGCAGCGGCCGCCAGTCACCAAGGCAACCGAAGCCGTTGCCAAGGATGAAACATTAACGAGTGCATGCGCATGCACTTCATTAATCAGGGATTCACAATGGAATCCTGGTCCTCACATTGCCTGCTGACACCGGGGTAATGGCAGCAGGGGGTGTCACGGCGGCCAGTGCACACACACAGGGCAACCGTCGTCACCCGTCACCGCCCCCTACTGACACCGGGGTAATGGTAGCAGGGGGTGTCACGGCGGCCAGTGCACACACACAGGGCAACCGTCGTCACCCGTCACCGCTCTTCCGACCCGCCGCCCAGCCACGTGTCACAGGAGAGTCGCTCGCATGGATGGCGGACCCGGTGCCTCCGCTCGGCGTCTACGCTCTCCCGGTTGTTGCCCGATGGCGCCACGTGTACCGAGGCGTCCACGTCCAGCTTTCTCGTACCGCCGCCGTGGGTGTCCTTTTGGGCTGGACTTTCCCCCACCGACCAAGCCTCTCTCTCGTATCTTTGGTGTCTCTGAATCCTGTCGTCGCTCCTTCACCGGGAGTCCGGGGAACACATCTGCTCACATGTTCCTTCTGTTCACATGTCCCTCCTGTCGTCTTCTGCCTGGCCCCGCCTCCTGTGCCGCTGACCGCTCCCAGCGGTACAGTCCACTCTTCTCCCGTTCACCTCTGCATGCTTGACCCATTGTGAGTCCTTCTGTACAGTTCACTCTCCTATTGTACTTCTACTCTGATATCCCGCCTTTACCCGTTGTACGGTACTCCCTCGCCTTTCTGTCTCTTGTCTGCTCTCTTTAGACCTGTTCCACCCTCTCCCACCTGTTCCACCATCCCCTCCTCCCCCACCTGTTCCATCAGCCCCTCCTCTCACGCGTTCCAGCAGTCCCTCCTCTGCCACCTGTTCTTTGTCTTTCTAACGCTTGTTGTCTGGTACACTTCCACTCTATGTCCCTCCTGCCCCAGTCTCTCACCGTCTGTCCGTTCCTCCTCTCTTACCTGCTGCCCAGTATCAGTCAGCACATCAGCCGCCGGCGGCGCGGCGGCCGCCTCCCCGCCACGACGCTGCCACCAAAAGTGCGCCACAATCTTCCACAGGATGGCCAGCAGCAGCAGGAGGCCGGCGCAGCGGCAGCAGCGCAGCAGCAGGCCGGAGCAGCGGCCGCGGCCGGACGCCTCGGGCGGCGTCGCCACCAAGTCGGCCCGGAACGGCTCGATGCCGGGCTCGGCGCCGGCCAGCCCGCCGCCGAACGACGGGTCGACCGTGCGCGCCCAGTAGCTCATCAGCGGCGGCGGCGGCGGCGGCGGCCGACTGAGCGGCGGCACCGGCCTCTCGGCGCACCGGGCGCGCCCATCGACCCGCCGGCGCCGGCAATCGATGCCAGTTCGTTTTAGTCGCCGGCCGCGGAGAGCCGCGCGAGCAGACTGCGCTCACTGTGCCCGGAAACGAGGCGGTAGCGGCGGCGCCGGCGAGGCTCCGGCGCGGGCCGCGGCCGGTGGCGGACCGGCGGTCGAAGCAACAGGCGGTGGCGGCGGCGGTGCATGCCGCCCGGGACTTCACGCAGGCTGATTAGAATTTAATGAGTCGCGCGGCCGGAGGGCACGCATGGACAAACTGCGACTAGTGCGGCGGCTCGATCCTCGGTCGTTTCCAGCGGTGGTCCGGGCCTTGTCTCATCGACCGGGCAGTCGCTATCAATAGTCCACCTGTTCTCGTGACGAAGTTTATTGGCCATCAGCCCGCGACCAGGCTGGGTGCTGAACCAACACGCGGCTACAAGACACAAACCGCTCAGCCGATAGCCTTGAGCGAGCGGTGCAGCGAGCCACGGTCCGACAACAGCACGCGCGTCACACCGCCGGGTGGCGGTACGCTAAACACGTCACCAAAATCACGCATAGCAATGATCTACTCCAGGCACGCGATCACAGCCGAAGACGAGGCTGCGGTATGCCACGAATGAGTCGTGGCTCGCGAGAAAGTCGGACGAGCACAAACACCGAGCACACACGCACGGGAACGTCAACGGATAGCCAAGGCGAGGGATGAATTACTACTACTCGCAGTGGCACTCTTCATCGTCGCAGGATGGCAGGTGCGACAGGCACGCTCTCGTGACCTCGCACCGACGCCCGACACCGGCGCCGACCGGTGGCGCCTCCCCGGGCCCGTCCGTCACGGCCGCCGTCGGATCGCGGCCCGATCGCAGCCCGCCGTTGGATCTCCACCACCCTCCGGCGCGTCCCCGGTCAGCGGAGCGGGTCGGCCAGCGCGTGCGTCTCGAGTGACAGCCAGAGCCAGGCGAGCGGCAGACTCTTGACGTGCTCCATATCGTACTGCATGGCCGGCGCCTGCTCGAACAGCACCAGGTGCGAGGTGCGGTACAGCGGCGAGCCGGGCGCCACGTGGTACGGCACCGTCTTCTCGGCCGGCGGCACCGCCTCCGGGTTGGGCGGCCGGCCGAGCAGCCGCGCGCCCGCCAACCGCAGCAGCGCGGTCAACTCGGCGCGCGACGGCGCCCCGAACGCTCCCTGCAGGAACACGTGCAGCCCGGCGAACAGCGGAGGCCGCAGGCGGCACCGGCGGCGGCGCGCGCGCCGGCCGGCCTCGCCGGAGACGTCCCACGGCTCGGCCGGCAGCGTGGAGCCGGCTTCGGCGCAGGCGGACGCCCAGTCGGCCGTCACCAGCCAGGCGCCGACCAGCAGGGCGCGCAGGCGCGGCAGGCTGACGGAGGAGGCCGAGACGGCGCCACCGCACACTAGGTGGGTGGTCTGCTCGCTGCAACACGAAGCCCGCTGCTCAGGGCGCGGCCCCACGTACGGCACGGAGGACAGGCCGCCGGAGGACAGGTCATCGGAGAACAGATCATCCTCTCGGAGGACAGGTCATCCTCTCGGAGGACATGCCATCCTCTCGGAGGACAGGTCATCCTCTCGGAGGACAAGTCATCCTCTCGGAGGTCAGGACATTCTCTCCTCAGACCTGCACAGTGGCCTGGCCCACGACGGAAGGTCAACGGAGCAATTGTGCACCATGTGACCCGTCTGCTCCAGAATACGGAGACCCGTTTTCTGAACAACGAAGCAGTTCATCTTAACTTCCCGAATAAGAAGCATAACAAAGGCGTGAACTCTGACCTCCACAACTTTCTGCGATGCTCAAATGCGGGAAAATTCAAATGCCCTGTCTGTTACCACGGGTAAGTCGCCCTGTCGGCTATCACAGGTGAGTCGCCCTGTCGGCTATCACAGATAAGTCGCTCGGTCGGCTATCACAGGTCAGTCGCTCGGCCGGCTATCACAGGTGAGTCACTCGGCCGGTTATCACAGGTAAATCGCTCGGTCGGCTATCACAGGTAAATTGCTCTGTCGGACATCACAGGTAAGTCGCTCTACCACCAGCATTCCAGACGTGCCACACCCTAGGCCTGGGACCACGAAGCCCACACCCAGTCGTAGCTGCACAGAGCGACACATGCACCCGGGAGGTGGAACGGGCACCGGGGAGGTCGGGGCGGGGGGGGCGGGGGACGGCGGCAGCGACCCGGGCACCGGGGAGGCGGGAGCGGCGGGCGGGGCGCCGGGGAAGCGGGAGAGGGTGCCGGAGAGGCGGGGTAAGAACACAGTTCCACCGGCCCGATGTTACGCCGCTGTCGGCGCTCCCAGAAAGATGCCAACTTCCACAGCAAACACGACACAAAAGCTGCGGACGGTGTTAGCAGTTGGCTGGCAGCAATTAGGGGCGCCCAAACTTTGACAGGTGACGTCGTGTACATAGCGACGACCGCTTTGTAAAGCGACGCGCCACGCGTGGGACTCGTATCAAAATACTTTAATTCGAACGAATTGCTGCACAGAGGCACCTCCACAGAGGCGTCTCCACAGAGGCACCTCCACAGAGGCGTCTCCACAGAGGCGCCTCCACAGAGGCGTCTCCACAGAGGCGCCTCCACAGAGGCGTCTCCACAGAGGCGCCTCCACAGAGGCGTCTCCGCGGCCTGTTACAGCACTTCACGAGCTTCCTGTGCAGGGAATACCGAGGAGGAAAAATGCCATGGCCATACGTTTCTAACTGGGGAAAAACCGCCCGATGACGGCCCGCGCCTGCAGCTGATTGTCGTTGTCACGCGTCATGCGGCTGATTTTGCCTAAAAAGCAGGCGTACCGCTGCTCTACTACTTCTTCATGACTTACATCCGTCTTCACAAGCCTTTTTTCACCGCTGCCAGGTCTCTCCCCCCCCCCCCCCCCCCTCCTGAGCATGAGGTGGGTGGAGCCGACCAGCCCTAACTGAGCTGTCCGCCTCTGGTGAGCCCTGGCTAATGATGCTCCCCTCATACTGCAGCCGTGCAGCCCTAATCGAGCTGGCCAGCGCTGCTCGCCAGAGCCTGCTGGCCAGCCCCCGGGCCGGCTGGCTTGGCTTACCTGATGCTGCCCTCCAGCCGCCAGCCGAGGCGAGCGGCGGTGCGCCGCAGTGTCGCCAGGCCCGGCGCCGGCAGCTCGGTCGCCGCCAGCACCACGGGCCGCTCCGTGCCGTCCGGCGGTGGAGGCGTCGGCTCTGCCAGCGCCGGCTCGGCCGCCAGCGCCACCTCCAGCACCGGCTGGCCGACCGCCAGCTGGCGCGGCGTGGTGCCGAATAGGCAGCGCGCGTCCGGGCTGGCGCCGGCGCGCACCAGCAGCGTCGCGATCGCCGCCCGCCCGGCCGCCACCGCCTCGTGCAGCGGCGTGCGCAGCTGGTGGCCGGCGGCGTCGGGCGGCGCGCCGGCGGCCAGCAGCTGCGCGGCCAGCTCCTCGCGGCCGGCCTCGCACGCCTCGTGCAGCGGCGTCCAGCCGGCGTGGTCCTGCGTGCAGACCGACGCGCCGGCCGCCAGCAGCTGGCGCACGCGGCCGGTGTCGCCACGCACGCACGCCGCGTGCAGCGCCGTCTCGCCCTTGGCATTGCGCTTGGTGAGGCTGACGGCGGAGCCGCCGGAGGACTGGGTGCGGCGGGTAACCGCAGCGGCGGCGGCTCCGCCGGGCGGCGCGGGCTCGCGGCGGCGCCCGTCCGCCTACGGACAACGGGGTGGGCAGTCAGCGCCGCGCTGGCTCTGGGGACGGGATGCAATGCACGCCAGCACAGGACAGTGTGAACGATGACTCGCAGACGCAGTTAACACACAATACAGCCCATGCTCGTGCACGTGACACAGACGCAGATGTTCCGTGATCAAGGCGTACAGGAGGCCTGCAGCATTTTAAATGTGGTGTCTCATAAAATAATGTGTGGATGAACACTTTATATCGGTATATTGCTAATCAGTTTACAGATAACTGACATCTTAAAAGCATGGGGCAGAACAGTGGACATTTTTACCATCTAAAGACAAGAGAAGTGAAACAAATCCAGCTCAACCTAACACCAGCCCGGCAACACGGCGAGCGGAATCCCTTCCACGCAGACAACGCCTCGAATACCTCGTCTTTTGCGTCCGGCTGTTTGGAGCGACTTGCCACGCCGGCCGTCCCGCCGTCCTGCGGCCGGGTCTCCACCTCCCGCAGTGTGCCACCATCGCCGTCGGCCGCCTCCTCGCGCGCCTGTCTCCCCTCCGGCTGCTCGTCCCCGACTGCAGTGTCCTCGCGAAGGCCTTCCCGCTGCCGGGGCGACAGCCCGTCCTCGGCGAGGGCGTCTCCGCGCCGTCCGTCCGGTGGGGGCAGCCCCAGCAGAGCGCGCAGCTCCCGGCAGCCGGCCGTCATGGCGCCAACGGTCGTGTCGACGCGGCTCTCCCGCGCCTCGGACGGCGTCTGGCAGCTCGGGCAGCGGCCGCTGGCGCTGGCCGCCGCGCAGCGGCCGCAGAAGAGGTGCGCGCAGCGGCCGAAGCGGCGTGGTGCGGCGGCCAGCGCGCCACAGCCGCCACAGCGCAGCAGCGCCTCCAGCGAATCAAGTGCAGCAGCCGTGCTGCGCCAGCGGAACACCTCCGACAGCGCCATCTGTGGAGGAACGAGCGAACTGAAACCGCCACCGCGGGCCTCAGCGTAGGCATGCCGTAGCGCTCTGGCTACTGATGAATGCCAATGGGAAGTTCTTGCTAGCCATTGAGAGTCTTTGCCTCATTTGAGGATTCCGCTCGCTCCAAAATTGCCAGCAAGCACAAGATGGCAAGCCGCTTACGCAAATTCATACTGTGCATAGCACAGCAAAGCACATCAGCAGCAAGCACAGGGTTTGGGCAATGCTATCCTGAAGGATGGGGCGCAGTGTTGCATGGTCATGCAATTTAAAAGTCCTCACCCTAAGCTCCAAAAGTGGAGTGTGAGAGGCATCTCAGCCAGGAGTGTCTTCGAGTCTTTAACCACCCATATTTGCGCCCAGGATATACAAGAAAATTGGGCCACAGAGGTACCCATGTAACTAAGAAGATTTGGAAAGATTTATGGAGATTAGAATTCAAACAAAACCATTTGCATCCAATCTCATGACATGCAGAAATATCCACATACATGTATATCAAAACATATATGAAATAACTGCAAAACATGCCAATGTCCTGGGTGCTGTGTGACTGTTTTATCTGATCCATTGACTTAAGTGCTGCCAAGACAACAGAAAGAGTAGTGCAATATATATGAATATATATATATATATATATATATATATATATATATATACACACATATATATATATATATATATATATATATATTCACATAAAATTACTCATATATTCATGCTTCTTACATTCTAATATTTTAAGATCCTAACTCATTGTCAGAGAAGACTGAATGGCACAAGAAATAAGTTTTGAGTTTTAAAGGACAAAAAATTGTGCACTTTTGTTGGAAAACATCTTTTGGCATGGAGAAAATAAATGAAGAATAACTGAATGAAGTAAAACAGAATCCTATTTTCACTTTGATTCATATAAGGACCACTCATAATGGGAACACTACAAAGACACAATGAGAACACAATTGTCAAAGTCATATCAATAATGCTCACCACCACCACCTAATGTGATTGTGGCAAAGTGTTCTTATAGTGGCTTTGTAGTATTCCCATTGTGAGTGCTTCTTACATGTATCAAAGGGAAAAAGGCATTCTGCCTTTCTTCAATTAGTTATGTCTCATTTATGGTCTCCTTAGCAAAAGATGTTTTCCAACAGCAGTGCACAATTTTTATCCTTTAAGACCCAAAACTTATTTCTTGTGCATTCAGTCTTCTCTAATGATGAGATAGAATCTCAAAACAACAGAATATACAGAATGATGAATATATGAGTAATTTTGTACAAACCATCTTTAATCTAAGCAATGATGCCAAGTCAAAAGCCTGGAAACTAGAACCCTGCATCAAAAAGCTTGCCAATGCTGAGTCAGCAGTTATTTTTAATCAAACATTTAGGCTTCCACCAATATATATATATATATATATATATATATATATATATATATATACATATCTCAATGCATGCGATATCAAGATAAGCCTGTGCTTGTCACCAGGTTGTAGAGCTGAACATCTGGCTGCCAGATAAAAAATATGCAGGGCCATACCACAGAAATCACAAGTGCACAATTTTTATAAGACGGCCAGTTGGCACTCAACATCAAAGTTGTGCTAGTGCGGCATGTTTTCACAAGCTAAGTGGTAAGCCAAAAACAAAAATCAAATGAAATCAAAAGATGAAAGACCAGAAACTTTGACTATAAGCACACGTATCTATAAAATTCAGTGGCCACCACAAAGGAACAACATTTGATACAAAAATAGCCACAGTCGCACTCAGCCCAGAGGTATTTTGCTGAATTATCAATGTGCACCATAGCAGAAGGTCTTGGACAAAAACATTACAGAGCAAATATTGGTTATGATGCTGGTACTTCATGCTTCAAGCCAAGCTTGAAAAGAAGTGATCATATGGGCACTAATGATCATGGGCTGGATACAACTACTGACAATAAAAACAGGGCTGGAAACAACTACTGACAATAACAATGTCTTGCTCTATCACATCACACACACGACACATATCACCAGTGTGTTCTGGTATATTGCAGGTCACTAACTCAGCATGCAACCTCTGTATTCATAATTCTGAAAAAAACAGTAGCTAAAGGTTCCACTTGTAACCATAGCATCTGGGGAAGCTAATGAGCCATGACATTTGGGGAAACCTGGTCGCCGAGATAACCCCATGGTCGAGGATGAGATAGTGTTCGATACATGAATCCATATTCAACTTCATATAAAAATGGTTGACTCCTCACACACCTTCAGCTCAGACGACAGGACAAAAACAGAGGCGGCAGGTGAGGATAAAAGGCACTTCAAATGTCTGCTCTACCGCGCCAAACGAAATGTCGCGAGTGCTGCGCGACCGTCTTATCTGATCCATTCACTAATGTGCTGCCAAGATAATAAAAATAGTGGCGTAAAAAAACTCAGAGCGACCCGCTAGCTGCCACCATATCCCTATGGTTTTTATCGTTCTAGCAATAGCCGCGGACAAGGGCGCCCTGAGTTCATTTGGGGTTTGCTTTGTATAATATTACTCGTAAGCCCCCGCTCTCACAAAAGTTGATACGACGCAGATGCCAGAGCAGGGCACATTTAACAGCCAATTCTAAAAGTAGGTAGTTTTAGCTCTGGCGTTGACTGAAAAGAGACCAAAAGGACTTTACTCCTCTTTCTTTCGTCACCGCCCCCTTCAACGCCCTCCACAGTGTCCCTGGATTTCACTGGAAATTGTTTTAGCCTCCACCACAGCTCAAAACAAGATAATGGTGTAATGCTGCAAAACAAGTGAGGGAGGAGACGTGCTCCAGGTTGACAAGCCCACGGAACCGTCGAATGTCACGCTGTTTCTCTGTGACCGTGCATATATAAGGGCCGTCCTACCTTATGCATGCAGGGTTTTTTATGAACCAGAACACGTGGAAGGGATAAACAGTGATAAACAAAGATGTCAATGATGTCAAAATTGCAGACGGGCTCGCTGATTTTGGAGTAACAGATGCCGGCCGCATCAAGGTGCGCAGGGACGCATATCTTTCTCCCACAAACAACATGGTACCCACTTTTAACCGCCCTGACTTACCATCTCAGATCAGGGTGTGTTATGTAAAGGCAAAGATACGCCTTTTGCTCCAAACCCGATGATATGTTTTAAGTGCCAGATGTTCGGTCACACAAAGTATTCGTGTCGTAACCAGCCAGCCTGTGGCAACTGTGCCTCGCGGGAGCACGCGCGCGACTGCGAACAGGCCGTGGTGTGTGACCTGTGGCAACCAACAGGCCGTGGTGCGTGACCTGTGGCAACCAACAGGCCGTGGTGCGTTACCTGTGGCAACCAACAGGCCGTGGTGCGTGACCTGTGGCAACCAACAGGCTCCGCACATGACCATACATGACCATTACTTTTTCATGACCGTACAAAGACAGCTTTTGACCGCAGATGCCCAGCCTATGCTGGAAAGAAGGAAATTGTGGCCCTGAAAGCTACAAAGAACATATTTTTTCGTGCAGCGAGAGACTTATATGAAGTAAGCCACCCAAAACTACCATACGCCACAGCACTTAAGGCTTCTGTCACGCGTCAAGCTTCGTTGAATCAGATGACCGCAGCACACCTAATCCAACTCCCGTTTGGTGTCGCGGTCTTTCCAGCGTCTCATATGCCAGCCATCAAATCGGCCACATGGTCCTGCCCGTCTCGTCGGCAGCCCGCGCCCCCTCCGAGGCGCGAGCTAAGCCGCCAGCCGCTGCATGACCGCCCCAGCCCCCACGATCGTGAGACGGCGAGTGGACCGTAATCCGCTCAGACCGGGCCTCCCGGGTTCCCCGCAAATGACGGCGCGCGCACGTGTTCCAAAGCCGACTCCACCTCAAGAGGCTCAGTGCCGACATTGAATGAGGCACTGGGAAGGGTACTGAACAATGTGGAGCGTCATAGGCTAAATGCGTGCTCGGGAGGCTAGGCGCGCCCGCCTGTTCGGGCAGGAGAAGGTCAAGGCAGCCAACCGGCTGTCGGGTGCGGTCGTGGGCCTACTTCTACGGGGAGGCAGTCCCACCTCCCAGACGACGGATGGAAGCTCCCCCAGCGATGGGTCCCCGCCCCCTCCGCTGCCACCCAGGGTCATCGCTTTTCCATCGGTATCCCTGTGCAGAACGCGACGCCGCGAGAAGCGCGGAGCGATTGGATCCATCTCATCAGACGGCGGTAGCCCTGGGCTCCGACCAAGGATCCGCTCAGGCTCGGATGGGTCAGACCCATTAGGCGGACTGAGTTCGTCGACGGCTGCAGGCTAGTTTTGATACATCTTGGTCGTGATATTTTAACGCTGCCTTAACTGTTAATACGCCCCTCTACAGACGGTTTCAATAGATGAACGACAGAGACAGAAGTTCTGCTCCATTTTTAGTTCCGTGGCACATGTTTTACAATGGAACTGTAGGGGCACCTGAGCTAATGCGCATGCCCTTCGTGTTCTCGTGAACCAGCGGCTTCCTGTGACGATCTGTCTTCATGAAACGAAACTTCAGCCGGACGCTCAATGCACAATAGCGAACGCAGTCGCGTGCCGCGGTGCTCTTTTAGCTATTCAACACAGTGTGTCAGTCCATCAGTTGGTGCTCCACATCCCTCTCCACGCCCCAGCAGCTGGGATCCGTTTTAATCACAGGCATATCACGGTGTGTTCATTGTAATTGTCGCTTGGCGGTGCTTTTCCCCTGGTTGAGCTAAGACGTTTGGTGTTTGGACTACTCCCGCCT